AATTGTTCTTTGGCGCTGATTACAAGACTCCACCGTTCCCTCACAGGAGGATGGACAAGTGATTAACAATAAAAGACCAGCGTGTGCTGGATGGTTAGGTCTTCGCTTACAAACCATAAATATTTTTTTCCATTTATTTTATTACTATTTTTCTTTTGGTTTTTCTTCGTCTTTTGCATCTTGACGTAGTATTTTTTTTTCATAGTTTTTTTTTTCTATAGTTTTTACTGGTTTCATATTATTAACAAACGATTTAGTAGGCCAGACCTTTCCTTTCTTTCTATCAATACTTGATTTCAGGAAACAGTTGTCTCTTTATCCACGGTTTTCCGGTCTTCGAACCCATTTACCCACGGTCAAGACATGTTCGTAACTTTGGAACTGAAGAACAAGTTGGTATTTTACATGTGCCCGTAAGGAAACAGAATTTATTTCCTTTAAGTGAGAATGTGAAAATTTAATAATGAAAGAACGAATACTACGATGAGGTTGCTAAAATCTTTAATAAGTACGTAATTTTATATTATAGCAAGTGCGAAATTTATATTAGAGTAAGAGTAAGTACCAAATTTATATTCGTCACATAATTTTATTACAATATATATATATATATATATATATATATATATATATATATATATATATATATATATATATATATATAACATTGCAGATACTTCTTTGAATTTTATAATCTTTACTTGAATGTCTAAATATATAGCTGGAGCACTGCACCATATGTGGCAGCAATATTCAAAGCAAGGACAAATGGTCGACTTATATATATATATATATATATAGATAGATAGATAGATAGATAGATAGATAGATAGATTATCTTATATGCGCAGTACTTAGTGGAAAGTGCTCAATATCCGTGATAGAGCTAACATATTCAGTTGTATGGATAGGAGTTTGTTACCCTGGGTTTCAAGCTATATATATATATATATATATATATATATGTGTGTGTGTGTGTGTGTGTGTGTGTGTGTGTGTGTGTGTGTGTGTGTGTGTGTGTGTTTATCATTTCACCAGACAAGATATGGCAGCAGTATTCAATGCAGGAACGAATGGTAGATTTGTAAATGTGCAAGATGGATTCTGACGAGAAAATTTTTCTGGGACGATCCAGTGATCCGACTATTCTTTGCGGTAGACGACTGAAGGAAAACGTGAGGCCAAGAAAGAATAGTATGCTGATCTCCTGGGGGTTAGCATCAGCCATACTGATGTCAGGCAGATGGCTTCTCATGTACGAAGGGAATGAAATGAATATACTGGAGAAGGAAGATCAATGGTGTTTTAGATGTCTGAAAGAATCAATGCAGATGCTAGCTTATGATAACTTCCTGGGTAGGCCTAGCATAGAAATAAATAGCTGTAAGAAACGAAAAAAAGATTCAGTTATCAATAGAGAATTATTCAACGTCAACATAGTAATTGTCAGGGAAGGGCAGTGGGTACTCAGTGGAAACAGAATAAACAATAACTAGGAAGTACTAAAAATATGAACTAGACGCGATATATCTAGACAAAGGCAATAGAACAGGAATAGTCTACACCTGTAGATTAAATAAGGTGTTCACTTTGGAATTTCCATTAGGTTACCCGAGTCGGCATACGCCTGATGAAGACCAGAGAGTATAACGGCCAGAACGTTGTCATAAAAACAACAAAGATAAGGACAATAGCCCTACTGTAAATGATGCACATTTATTATTCTAGTTTATTATTAGTTATTGTTGTTAATCTCTTATTATGCCTAATAATATATACGGTAAGAATAAATCTTCTATCCATCACATAACTTGCATTATATTATTAAATCATATAATAATTATCAATGTGTATTTATTTATATATTTCCTGACCCATTCGATAAAGGGAGGTAACTTTATATTGTCTTCGTAAAGGGAGATAATAATGTTAGGCAATATGAAAAATTGACATCAAACCATATATTTATGTATTTATTTATATATTTTCTGTCCTATCTGAAGTGGAAAGGGAGGTAAATCAACCTAAGTTATAAAAGTTACTTGTGATTACTTCCCTTGGTCGTTTTAATAATCCATATGAATAAAATATGGGGTGTATGCAGTGTATCGTCAGTGGTAGTACCTTTGCAGCGAAGCGGTCGACCTTGTTTTACTCAGGTGAATTGGGATGCGGAACTGTACTAGTTCACGGCCTACATCCAACTCTCCCGCATGCCTCCAGGAAGTTGCAATTGCACTGCGACGGCCACACCACGATCAATGGCATTGACCTGCCGGCTAATCTATGTAAATGTACCAGACCGGTGAAGTGGAACGCCCTGTCGTACTCGCCTGTGCCAAGCGGCAATCGGCCAGTCGCCAACCTCGGCATAGGAGCTGAACCTCAGAGGTCAACAGTTTTACCAGCTGATAGAATGGCATTCTGAGTGGGTTAGAGTAACCTAGAGAATCGGCATGGCATTGCAATGTTTTTTTTTTTCCTTTGAATGTCATCATGAACCACAATTACAACAGAAATAAAGGAGAGTGATGATTACAGAAGCGCAAAATGCGCTTGCAGAATAAAATGAACGAATTTAAATAAAATATCTATCTGCATTTAAACAAAATTAAGACGCAACTGAGGAAAATTATACTGAGAGTGGCCGGCCATGGGGAACAGCTGCCCGAGGACACGCCTTCTCATTGCAGTAGAGAGAAGGATCGGTGCACGCACCGAGGCCAGCGCAACCGACGGTTACGGGGGCTCGGGGAATTTTTGTTCCTTGCCCGGGTGTACGCGCTCGGGGTCCCCGCATTAAACCGACCTTGTATCACAACCTGACCTCGTGGTGGGTTGATTATATATCTACTCCTAGGTTTCTTTGATTGCAGTTTTATTTATTAAATCTTTTCATGTGAGAGACTCAGATATTTTGTATCTATTCAGTGATCGTCTTGCTTCAACTTAAGATGACATTTTCATTTCACTGGTATACTTAAACACACAAAATTTGTTATCATGAAAAGATATAGAGCAAAAAGAGATTTATATAATACCAATAGTAATCCCACTGAACGTCTAAAAATATAAATCGAACGGATTAATTAAGTGGTTCGTTGGCTTCAGTTTTAGTTGTGAATTCTTTATCTTCGCTTTATTGAATCTCAATTTCACTGTACACTAGTATTATTTGGTTTGTCTGTTTTATTCGTAGCCATTTTGTTTAGAACTGAATGTGTCTAATAAGATATACAGTAAGAACGAATCTTTTATCCGCCACATAAATTTACAGTATATTGTTATAATTGTTATATTTTCAGTATTTACATTAGTCGGTCTATTGTCCTCATCTTTGTCGCCATATTTGTCACAACGTTTCGGCCGTTGTACGCTCCGGCCTTCTTCAGGTGGTTGGAATTTCGAACTGAACCCTTTATTTCGATCGCTGGGGTAGACTGTTCTAATTCCACGTGCCATGTTTGATGGATGTCAGTTATCAGTTATCAAGGACACATGGCACAGTGGATAAAGGCGTTGGTTAGATCCAGTGACAGACCCAAAAGAAGGTGAGTTCAATTCCTGGTTAAGGCAGTGGAGAACTTTCAGAGAGAAAATTAGCAGGAGATAACTGATAACTGACATCCATCAAACATGGCACGTGGAATTAGAACAGTCTACCCCAGCGATCGAAATAAAGGGTTCAGTTCGAAATTCCAACCACCTGAAGAAGGCCGGAGCGTACAACGGCCGAAACGTTGTGACAAATATGGCGACAAAGATGAGGACAATAGTCCGACTAATGTAAATACTGTACATAATACCTCATCTCAGAAATATAGACAAACTTTGTTATATTTTGTTTTAGTTTTTCTTGTTAATCTCTTATCCTTTGTAAATGAATATGGATTTAAAGGGGGAAAAAAGTTCACTAATATCCACGGTTTCAGTTATCCACGGCTGTTTCGTAATTCATCCTTTTTTTTCTAAATGAAAGACGGTATGTTAATGAAAACCAACATTAAACGTTTGACAACCATAATAGTAATTTCAAGCTTTCGTTCTCTTTCCTTCTTTTGTTATCCGATGATTCATTCTGTTATTCGGCTGTTTTCCAAAATTTTGTTGATTCCATTTCTTTCTTTTCTTTTCTTTTCTTTTCTTTTCTTTCTTCTTCGTCCTTATTTTTCTTTTCTCACTTTCTATTTTCCTCTTTCTTCTCTTCGTTTCTTCTTGATTTCATCTTTTCATTCTTTTTTCCGTCTTGTTTTTTCTTTCTTTTTATTCTTTATATACTTCTTCCTTTATTTTCTTCCTTTATTTTTTTTCTTCCTTTATTTTCTTTATTGTTTTTACTATTTTTTCTTCTTTTTTTTTTTTGTTTTTACTTCCGAATTATTTTCTTTCTTTTTCTTCTTCATTTTCAATCTTTCTTTTTTTCGTTATTTTTCTATTTTTTATTTTTTTTTCCAGAAAGGCACCAGCACTGAATTTTAATACCGGAACCGACTATGCTAACTGACTGGCTTCTTAATATCTTGATGCCTCAAAAGGCAATGCGAGAAAATAAGAAGAAGAAAAGAAAGATAGAAAAAATCAGCAATACATCTGCAAGAAAAGGAATTGCAAGGCATGAAGCAAACATTGAATGAAGCAATTTGAAAGTGAGATCAGTGTATATCAAGAAATGGCGATGACGAAAACAAAAAAGACCGTAATTAAGCATAATATTCCAGTGATAAAGGAAGCCACAGGAGGAAAAAAAAAAGAAAGAAAGAAAGAAAGTAAGAAAGATTGTAGAAAAAGGGAGGAATGAGAAAACGATGGCAAAGGAAATATGAAAGAAAAAAGACAAGAAGAAAAATATGTGAAAGAATGAAAGAATAAAGAACAGAACCGAAAAGGGAGAAGAATATATGAATGAAACTAAGAAGAAAGAAAAAATACGATAAGAAATAACTAAAGAAGAAAGAAAAAATGCAAGAAGAAAGAACATTTGAAAGACGGAAAGAAGAAAGTTATTGAGAAAAGAAAAAGCGAGAAGAAATAAAGAAACAACCAAAAATTAAAAGAAAAGAAGAAAGAAGGAAAGAAAGAAGTCGATAAGAAAGGATGGGAGAAGAAAGAAAGAAAGAAAGAAAGAAAGAAAGAAAGAAAGAAATGAGAAAGAAGGAAAGTAAGAATGCAACATGAAAGAAGAACAAAAAATATAAAAGAAGAAAAGTTAAGGAAAAAGAAGGGGAAAAGAAATATGCAAAAAGAAAGAAAAAAGGAAAGAAGAAGAAAAATAAAAAGAATGAAATAAGAAAAAGAAAACAAAGAAGGTGATAAAAGTGATGAAAGAAGAGAGAAGAAAATTTGAAAGAAAAAAGAAGATAAGAAAACGAGAAGAAAGAAATCAAGAAGAAAGAAGAAAATATGACAGACGAAAGGTAAAATGAATTTAAGAAGAATGAAAGTGAGAAGAAAGATGAGAGAAGAATAAAAAGGAAAGAAGCAAGAACAAAAAAGAAAATGAGAAACAAGGAAAGAAGAAAAAATACGAGAAGAAAAACGACAGAAGGAAAAGGAAAGAAACATGAAGAAAACGAAAATGAGAAAGAAGTCGAAAGTCGAAGATGGCAGAAGAAAAAAGAAAATGAGATAAAAGTTAAGAAGAAAGAAGGAAAAAAGACGATAAGAAAGAAACCAGGACGAAAGAAGAAAATGTAAAGGAAAGAAAGAAGAAAAGTGTTAAGAAGAAAGAAGGGTAGAAGAAAGAACGAAACAATCAGCAAAAAAAAAAGAAAATAAAAAAAGTAGAGAAGACTGAAGGAAAGTAAGAAGGCGATACCAAGAAGAAGAAAAAAAAGAAGAAAGAAGAAAAATAAAAGAAGGAAAACGAGAACTTAAGAAGAAGGAAGTAAAGGAAATATGCGAAAAGAAAATAAACCAGAATGAAAGAAGAAAGGAAAGAAAGATGGCGAGAGAAATGAGCAAATAAATAAAGAAGAGAGAAGAAAATATGAAAGAAACTTAGAAGAAAGATGGTAAGAATGCGAGAAGAAAATTGGGAGAAGAATGAAGTAAAGAATGAAGAAGATTAAGGAAAATAAAGATGGAGAGGAGAAAGAGAAGGCTGAAAGAAAGGAGTGAATGAAGACGGAAAGAAGAAAGAAATAAAGCGATAAGAAAGAAGAATGAAACCAAGATGAAAGAAAAAAATATGAAAGAATTTAAGATGATAGAAAGCGAGAGGAAAGATGCGAGAAGAATGAAAATCAAAAAATGAAAGAAGAAAATAAGAACGGAGAGAAGAATAGAATGAAGGAGAAAAGACCATCGTTTTAATGTTGAACTATAAATGCAACCGCCATTTCTATTCAAACAGTTTTTTTTTCTTTTTTCTATCGCACTTCCTGCCTGTGGAATTCTGTTCCGATTTGATATCTCCCTGCTAAATACAATTTTGAAAAAATTTAAATGTAACGTTAATCGCCATTTTCTGTCTTCTTGAAGCCTGTTCCTTTTTGTCACTTTCCTTAATAATCCCTATTTTCAATTTTCTCATTCCCTTTCACTTTCATTCCCTGTAAACCCTTGCGTCGCAGTGGCATTAGCACCTGCTAGCGGTGAGATGATTAAAAAATAAAATGAAAGAGACCACTAAGAAAGGAAAAATATGAAAGAATTTAAAAAAAAAAGTGTGAAGTAAAGAAAAAGAATGACGAAGAAGCGAGTGAGTGAACGAAATAAATTGAAGAAGAAAATAAAACGAAGAATGAAATAAACAGAAGAGTGAAGAATACGAAAAACATTAAAAAAATAAAGAATGAAAATTAAACACAGAATGGAAAGAATTCAAAGAACGTATGAAGACCAAGTGCAAAAGAGGATGAAGAATGAAAAAATTCCGGAGAACAAATAGACGTATAGAACGAATGAGAATGAAAAATGAAGAAAACAAAAGAGAAAAACGAATAAGAGAAAGATAATAAAGGAAGAAAGACGGCGAAAAATAACTCGGAAAAGAACAAAATTCGACGAATGAAAATAAACAATGAACAAAAATGCGAATGAAAAAAGTTAACGAATGAATGAAAAAATAAAGAATACGAAGAACTAATGAAAACTAAGAAGGAAAGAACTAAGAATGAAACTCTTGAAGAAAAGAAGAAAAAAATCTAAAGAAAAAAAAGATTAACGAATTTTGAAGTTATTTTGAATGAAAGTTCAAGAAAAAATTAAAAAAGAGAATTTTCAATGCGTACAATAAAGAAATATTCTTGAGAACAAAGAATAATAGACAAAAAATATATCTATGAGCGAAATTTTAAAATAGCACTTTTTTTTTTTTTTTTTTTTTTTTCATATATATAAACTATAATTATGAATCATAATTTTACAATGTGAATTTTTCAGTGACACCTGTTGGAAAATTTGCAAGTCTTCCTCGGGAAACCAGAAAATACAAACTTGAAAGACAGATTCTTACAAAATATATAAAATAAAGATGGCGTCAATTTTAAACTATATCCTCCTGGTATCAGTTGAAATTGGCGACTTTTTTCTTCCATGTCTAAATTATAAAAATACATTTTAATTTTAGAAAGCGAACATTTCACTAAAATATTTTTTTCATATGAAATCAAAAAAATACGAACGTTTCAAAAACTGACATCTTTTCTATTCGGTTGTCACACATGAAATAATGCATTCTTTGGTTGGTTGTTGATCCGGTCGCCTAACGAAGTAACCTCCTTATTATATAAAAAATATTTTGATTTATTCCCTGACTCTTTTTCATCCCAGATAATTTTTCTTTTAATATATTTGTTACTCATAATCCCAATAGGATGATTACAACGAACCCATGCCAAGTAATTTTAGTGCGCATGAGCACAAACTGTGAAAAAGAACCATTTTTGAACCGAATCATAACATACGATGAGAAATGGATACTCTTTGACAATAGTAAAAAGTATGCCAGTGAATCACTAAAACAATACCCAAAATCTCCACTGCATACTAAAAAGTTAATGGTTACTGTATGGTGGTCTTTCAAAGGGGTTATTCATTCTTGCCTCAAAGGAAAACAATAACAGCAATCTCGTACTGTGGAGAAATTGAGTGTATGCACGAAAATTGAAAATGAAACAATATTTGTATAGGGATGGTCCAGATTTGTTGCACGACAACACACTTCTCAATCAACTGCACCAAAGCAGCATAGACTGAATTATGAAATATTGCTTCATCATTCATATTCACCTGATATCTCTCGAACTGATTATCACTTATTTAAACATTTTGAGCTTTTCATACGTAATAAAACATTCTCCAATCAGAAAGAAGTAACCGAAATATTTGAAATGTTTATCACAGCAAAGGATGAGAATGTCTTTCAAGATAGGATCAAGAATTTAGAGGTACATTGGCGAACAGTCATTTATCAATACGGTGCTTATTTCAAATAAATAAATTAGTTATTTAACATTTCAGAAGCGTTTTATTCATTTCCCGTAAAGTGCGTCATTTCATGTGAGACAACCTAATATTTCCTTCTTCTCTAAACATTGATTTTGGAAAGTGAAAATCTCACAGAAATATATTGGAAGAGTTCCAAGATTTCATCTGGAATCAAGAAAATGCGAACTTTAACCAAAAATGGTCCAAACACCAGGAAGAAATTAGTTAAATGGCAATGTACGGAAAGAAAGAAAGAAAGAAAGAAAGAAAGAAAGAAAGACTAAATGGCTGACTGATTTACAGACTGACAGAAAGAAAGACTGACTGAAAGAAAGACTGACTCACAGGAAGAATATTATGGAGGGAAAGAAAGAAAGACTGAAGGATATAAATAGAATGAAATAAAGAAAACTCGGAAAAGAAAGAAAGAAAGACTGTCTCACTCACTGGAAGAATATGTATGGAAGGAAAGACAGAAAGTCTGGAACGATATGAATAGAAAGAAAGAAAGAAAGAAAGAAAGAAAGAAAGAAAGACTGACTGACTGACTGACTGACTGACCGAAAAAACGATTGATTCACTGGAAGGATATGTATGGAAGGAAGGAAAGAAAAACTGGAAGGATACGAATAGAATGAAATAAAGAAAAAAACGGAAAAGAAAGAAAGAAAGAAATAAAGAAAGAAACAAACAAACAAACAAACAAAGACTGACTGACTGACTGACTGAAAGAAAGACTGTCTCACTCACTGGAAGAATATTTATGGAGGGAAAGACAGAAAGTCTGAGGTGATATGAATAGAATGAAATAAAGGAAAACCTGAAAAGAAATATTGCAGAGATAAAGGAAGCCACAGGAGGAGAAGAAAGAAAGAAAGAAAAAAAGAAAGAAAGAAAGAAAGAAAGAAAGAAAGAAAGAAAGGAAGAAAGAAAGAAAAGAAGAATATGTATGGAGGGAAAGACAGAAAGTCTGGAATGATATGAATAGAATGAAATAAAGGGAAACCTGAAAAGAAAGAAAGAAAGAAAGAAAGAAAGACTGACTGACTGACCGAAAAAGAGATTGACTAACTGGAAGAATATGTATGGAAGGAAGGAAAGAAAAACTGGAAGGATATGAATAGAATGAAATAAAGGGAAACCTGAAAAGAAAGAAAGAAAGAAAGAAAGAAAGAAAGAAAGAAAGAAAGAAAGAAAGACTGACTGACCGAAAAAGAGATTGACTAACTGGAAGAATATGTATGGAAGGAAGGCAAGAAAAACTGGAAGGATATGAATAGAATGAAATAAAGGGAAACCTGAAAAGAAAGAAAGAAAGAAAGAAAGAAAGAAAGACTGACTGACCGAAAAAGAGATTGACTAACTGGAAGAATATGTATGGAAGGAAGGAAAGAAAAACTGGAAGGATATGAATAGAATGAAATAAAGAAAAAAACGGAAAAGAAAGAAAGAAAGAAATAAAGAAAGACTGACTGACTGACTGAGTGACTGAAAAAAAGACTGACTGAAAGAAAAAAAGTCTGACTGACTGAAAGAAAAAAGAAAGAAAGAAAAAAAGAAAGATTGACTGAATGCTACTTGTATAAAAAAGGGATTGCTATTCAAATATAAACTACCCCTTTGTGCAAATTAATTAAAACAACCGTTGTAGTTTCCTTTTTTTTTTCTTTTTTTTTTCACCATCCGGTCAGTTTCAGACCCACTGGTGTAACAGGGCGTAATCGATTTTTATCTTTTTCCTCAGATAAGGTCATTTCCAGTGGTGCGCAGTAATATGAAACTATTTTCGGGTTGTATGATCAAATTTGTTTAGCCTTGAAAAATATTGATTCATCCGTGATTGCGTCCGATTTTTACATGCCCAGTTGCTATTGTCTCGACTGTCGATTAGTTGTCCTACGGCCATTGTCTGCGATGGACGTTACTCCAAGGTAGCGTACAAAAATTTGTAACGCAGCACGAAAACACTGACAAGCCTTACCAGTGAGCAACCAAAGTACTATAGGATGACCCGGAAACTCACCTGATTTAAACCAGGAACTTCACAATAATAACACACTCAAGGAAAAATACGGTTTTAAAATCAAAAAATTATCTGCCAACCACTCTTCGTGGAGGGATCTGAATCTTGCTACCACACATATGGTCTGCCAGCAGACACCTTCTCCAAGCAAGGCTTGAACACCGTGTTCAGTAACTCTAGATAGCCATCCGAATTGAGCCTGAGACCCTGTTCAAAGATGCGATGTGGCATAACATCACATTCCCTGGAGACACAGTCAAAAGACATCACAGTTTGGGAAACTTGGTCTTCATGACGCGAGAAACGCCATATTGATTGTAGGCAAAGCATCTGTTGTCCTGAGTGTTCTGCAGCTGGTTCTGACATTCTCTTCGTCGGAGGATAACCAGATTATCTCTGATGCAACAGGAGGTTTCATATTGTACAAGAGTTTCTTTACCTTTGTCAGGCGCTTTTCTCGAGTTTTTTTATGCAAGAAGTTCACCTTTACACCTCTTGTATCACTGGTAGCGGATGTTTTCAATCAAGGCCATCGCAAATTACAAACTCTGAATTCAAACCTGCTCTTAGAAAAAAAAAATCCAAGGAGCGTCTGCATCGGCAACCGGCGGCTTCTGGTCGTTCCTGTCTCTGCGTCTGTGGGAATCCCGCGGCAAGCAAGAACGTTATTCGAGTAGGCCTGGGTACCCTACTTCTGTAATTTATCCCAAGAATCTTCTTCTCACATGACTACGAATGAGTCAACAGGAAGAAGCCGGCTCAATCCGCCCAGGGTGAATGCCGCATCAATACAATACAATACAATACAAATAAAATACAAATTACAACACGTATTTCCCGTGCTAAAACCCCGCATTCCTTTACCTGGGTCTTCCATCACTTTCTCCTGCAGTTGTTGGATGAATTCTAGTATACGGAGTTATTCAGAACGTCTGCTGGGTTATTACCCACAGCTTTGTAGTCTCTGTTAAAGCTCTCCACTTCACGACATTGTTTGCACTAGGTCCAAAGATGATGGAACTGCTATCACGATTGCGGCATTTTGATGTCCAGAACGAATTATCATGATGCAAGTTATCCTTTTCCAGTATTCAGGTGGCTTCCACTCATCCATATCAGCTAACTTTGACACCTCTAAAACTGCGGTGATTCGGTTTCACAATACCGTTCACTGTTTACAAATATTCAAAAACATTTTTGAAAAAAATTAAAACAGAAAACTCTGGCAAATTTAGCCGGAATATATATATATATATATATATATATATATATATATATATATATATATAAAATTGTACATTGAAGTCAACACTTAGAGGCAAAATGCTGTTTCATATTAGACGTAATGATATGGTCTGACGATTGCGTCTAGCATGAAACAACATGTCGCCTCTAAGGGTTGACTTCAATTTTCACTTTTATATTTACACACGCTCTATGATTGATATTGACCACTTTATCTCATAAATATAGCACACATTAAGAGTATATATATATATATATATATATATATATATATATATATATATATATATATATATATATATATATATATATACAAAACCTCCGAACCTGTTATGAATAAAAGATCCTTGTTTCTATAAATTTCTGTTGCATTAGTTCTTATTTTTACTACAAGCTTTCGTCTGTTCCTACAGACATCTTCAGGTATGGAATAGATGTTGTTCTTGTTTTTTCTCTCATATATATATATATATATATATATATATATATATATATATATATATATATATATAGAAAGGCATGGTGGAGTAATGGAATTTTGTATTGATCACTTTTTAATACTACTGTTTCCTGGCCCGATTAACCTGATATATATATATATATATATATATATATATATATATATATATATATATATATAAAGAAAGGAACTATTTTTTTATTTATTGATCCAATATATCTTTATTAAATGTTTTAGAGGATACTCGTATTTGAGTAGACGTTCCATTTATTTATAAAACGGCATATTTATTTATTTTCCACTACCGCCCTGAATATTCGAGAAAACCTATTGAAGCAAAATATGCTCTCTCCGAACTTGAGTTCTACTAGTAAACGCAGGTTCAAATCCTACCAGAGAGTGCATATTATTCTCCAATAAGATTTTCTACTATAGTGTTCAGTCGACAAACTCAAAAACAAACACCACGCATGCGTGAAATTGAACATATAAAATGGCGTCAGTTTACCCATCGTATCCTGTATATAGAATTTTAATGTTTTCGACCAGAATTTTTTTTAAGGGTTCTTATATATTATAGGTAGTGTTTTTTTTTTTTTTTGTTTTTTTTTCTGATAAGTGACATGTGAGGGGCCTACTCAAAGAAGTGGTCGTATGTCTGATATAGGTACTGGCCAGTAAAATTAATACATTATATTAGTCACCACTAGTTTAGATTTGATTATTTTAGTTATTTTATTATATATATATATATATATATATATATATATATATATATATATATATATATATATATATATATATATAGGACCTTTTCAAATGATGGCGTTTCCAGAAGTGGGAGCGTGCAGTTTCAGTTGGTAACGCATCTATAGGGAAGTACTATAAGCATGCTTGAAATTCAGTGTATTTCATTTCGTCGAAGTGTAAACAACTTTGTTTTTCATAGCCTTAAACATGACGGAATTCGTGCCAAAGAAAGTGTATTTGCGGGGAATTTTACTGCACTACTTTATTCAAAAGCAATATGCAGCTAAAGCACACAAACTTCTTGTTGAGACTTACGGCGAGCATGCTCTGTCGGAACCAACATGCAGAGATTGGTTTAGACGCTTCGAAAAAAATGATTTTGATGTTGAAGATAAAGAACCTCAGACGCACCGAAAAAAATTTGAAGACGAAGAGTTGGAGGCCATTACTTCATGAAGAATTATGTCAGGCGCAAACTGAACTTACACAATCATTAGGAGTTGATCACATAAGTTTCGAAATGTTTGAAACCACTAGGAATGATTAAAAAACAACGACATTGGGTGCCGTACGTGTTGAAGCCGAGAGACGTCGAACGTCGTCTTGTCACGCGTGAACGGCTGCTTCAACAGTAGAGAACTAAAGGTTTTTTGCATCGTATCCTGACTGGCGATGAAAAGTGGATACACTACAATAATCCTAAGCGTAGAAGATCGTGGGGTAGGCCCGGCTATGCATCAAAATCGTTGGCAAAGCCGAATATCGATGGTTTGAAGATTCTACTCTGCATTTGGTGGGATTAGCTATATTTAGCTGTCCCCCCACCCACGTGGGGTAGCATGTGGCACAAGGCCGAGTTTAATGTGGGTCATCCGAGCCCGTAGGCCCGGCCAAAAATATAGCCTTCGAACTCGCCTAGGCGGGTTCGAGAACTGTCAACCTCCCCGAACGAAACCTTGTCCTTCGGCAAAGCTTCGTCCAGGTTCCTCTCTGCTAATGCAGAGAGTTAGACAGACGGCGGTTGCTGTAACTTTAATACAGGTGAGATCAGCTGGGTGTAGTTTATAATGGGCAGCTCAAACCGACCGAGACCATCAAGGGAGATCACTATCGACTACAGTTTGAGCCGAGTATTGAAGCAAAAACGGCCGCTATACGAGCAGAGAGATGGCAAAGTGATTTTTCAACATGACAACGCTAGGCTTCATGTTGCAAAACGGGTGAAAACCTAGAGGGAAACGCTTAAATAGAAAGTCCTACCCCACCGCCGTATTCACCAGACGTTGCTCGTTCCGACCGATGACACATGGCCTAGCTGAGCAAATTTAACAACAATAAATATAATTGATATATAACCCCACAAATCAGGACCTACCCACATTTTTCACCCACACAAGACAGACATGCTTGCGGAGGTGTTGAAACCTCACACTTACACATACACCCATACTAATATACACACATACACACACATACACACATCATACTCACTCACTCCCTAAGAACCAAATAACACCGACACTTAACAGATACACATCCAGGAACCAACAAAACTGTCAAAATGACAAAAGGAATTCAGAGCAGCATGAATCCATCCAGCTCTTATCTTAAATAGCAACTTAAAAGAGACTGTTTGACCAACACAAGAACTGATTAAAATTCATGTTAAAAATATTAAAAAAATAAAAAAACAAATGAAAACTACAGATAAAGTTCATTTTCTTCATCAAGTCATTCATTTCTGTAGTTCACTGCTACTAACAATCAGAAATGTTTTTCTCCTGATGATGTCCATGTTAGCCGAAACTAGTCGAGGAATCTAACTGAAATAACAAAAACGAAAGAATATTAATGTGTGTCTGAAGATTTTAATTTTTTAATATTTTTATTGTTCAAAGCATATATATATATATATATATATATATATATATATATCATAAACATATATAATTTTATAATTCAACAAACAGTATTTAGAAGCCCAATGCGAAGGTAGGTGGGTGTTTGGTTAGCTAGGTAATAACTCTATGTTTTCAAAGTATTTTCTGATTTTTTTTCTTTCCTTTCTCTTCGTTCTTTCTCTATTTTATTGCCATATTTCTTTTTGTCTTCTTTTTTTTATACCTTCAGTTCAGTTTCGGTTCATACACCGTCATTTTTTTTCTTTTCTCTTTTTCTCTTTTTTTTTTTCTTTTTATAAGCCTTCCGTCTTTTTTTTTTTTATCATCGCCGCTTCGACTGTTTTCCATCATAGAATCACCGGTGGGAGATAACTGTCAAACAATCAAGACGTCCATTGATCCAGGAAACAGGATGGTCAATTGTTTGATAACGATTCGTTAGTCGTATGTAAGTAGACAATAGTCTCAACTAAATAAATACATAATTGCTTTTGCTTATATAACTCACTTGTTTTCTCATACATATATATATATATATATATATATATATATATATATATATATGCGAAGTGGTATCGGAAGGTTCCCGGAAGAAAATCTCCTAGCAGACTTTATATCTGATTCCAATCATATGAATAAAGCTGATGGATTTTTCGGTGACAATACCCATAGATGAGTTCACGAATTTTTTCATCATTTTTTAGCGTTTTACTGCCGACTGATTGATTTAACGCTCCTCGTCTTGAACTGACGTTCGACTGGCCGTCAAATGCAGGTCATCGTCAGAGCTGTTTCGATGTCAGAATGAAAATCAAAGCGATTTCTCATTTCCAAGCATGCCTGGCTACCTAGGCCTATTTTTGTTTCTTCAACTGTCACAGATCTAACCTGTTTTATACTACAGCTATCCTGGGCAGATCTTACTTACAGTTCCCAAAGACTGTGCCATTTTTCTCTATACTTTCTAGTGTCCTTTGTCAATTTTTAGGACGCAAGGCAGAAGTAAAGAG